TTTTTTTTTTTTTTTATAGACAAATGTTAGTGATAGTGTACTCGGAAACTCGGAATAAAACAATATTATTTTCCTCATTAAAATTTTAATATTTTTCCGATAATAATTACATTTTTTTTTGCCCCGCCGAAAAACTGTAGATATCCTGGATGATGTATTACCATGAACCAATTTTGACGTCTACCCCGTATCCAAAGGAGCAGGTTTGGACTCAGCCTCAGTTTCTTCTGCGTCTCACAGAAATCCGGTCCAATTCCAGTCCTAACGTGTGGAGACCTTGTTTTTTGTTTATAAATGACACGTGACTTGCTGCGAACATGGCTGATCATTTGTTGCCAATTTTGTACCACGACAAATCACAGTCATCCGATTGGTTCCCTGCGGAAAGGTCCGTTCGAAGTGTGATAAATTTCATTTGCGAAAAAAAAAATACTTAGTCATTAATTATATTCAAAAAATAACAAATTAAATAAAATAGTGAATTGAAAAACTTACTACATAAATTAGCTGAATCAACAAAATCATCTGAAGTTGAATCATTACCTTTCACAGATTATTTATATATAATTTATATAAATTAAATATCACAATAAAAATACAGAAATAATGTTATAAATAAATTACATACCTTTGATTAATTTATTTTTAATGTTAATCTCAAAACCCATTCTTTTAAACTCGTCTTCCCGACTACCATTAATAATAGCAATTACAATGTCTTTCATACTATTTATACTATTTTTAAATGGAGGATATCCACTAGAAATTTCCCACATTAATACACCAAAGCTATAAATATCTGAGGTATTTTAATTTTCTTATTTTAAAGTTTAATATTGTTCGATTTTATTTTTCGATTTTAAAATTATAAATAAATATAAAGTCATAAGACTGTTTGACAAAGGAATTTATCGAATTATTTACATTTTCCATGAATGGATGCGTGAAAGGTTCATTTTACGGAGTTTTTACAGAAATGATAAAATTTTTATAGGTTCCAATCAGACAATTCAGAACTAAATAGAATTTGTGACCGAAACCTTTCTCGGTCAGCTAATTTTGTGCCCTTTATGCGCAAAATTTAAAGGTGCAGAATCATTATTTTTTTCTAGAAAGACCGATGTCCAATTTTTACATGACCTTCTAAATCTATTTTAGTAAAACTTATAGACAGACATTTAATAAGTAAATAATAAACATTTGTCACAGTTGAATTTTTAAAAAATAATACGAAATTTGTTTAATTTTCATTGATGTAAAAAATATGTATTCATTAAAAAATAAAAAAAAACAATGTATTATTATATATACAAAAATAAAAAAAAAATATGGGTTTATTAATTTGCATATATCCAAGATTAATCAATAGGTAAATTTGCCTGCAATTTCAATATTGCTTAAGAGAGATACTGTAATATGATAATCTAATCAATTGATTAATTTGTCGTTCACGACACAACATTAATTAGCTAATTTAACGTTTGATCATCACGGATCAATCAAAATTGAAATCGCAAATTTTGGTTGGTTTTAGTTTTTAGTGCTTACATAGGACATATACAATAAAATTAATTATCGGAAATATCTGATTGTGGCAATAGAAAAATTTCTCAATGATCATTAGATCACTCAATTCGACAATATAAATATTCTCGGATTTTTATCGCATTTCCATCTTCATTCTCAAAAAAATAAAAAAAATATCTACATTAATCTATAAAACTTTCAATCTTTACTTGAACAACTTTCAAAATCCCATACTATAAAACACTTCCTTCTTCCTTAAGACATCATGAAATTAAATTTTCTTCTCGCAATCCTCTTGTCACTTGTCGTTATTTCCCAATCAGCTCCTACAAGAACTATTGAAAAAAGAGATGATTGCACTGATGAAGGACCAAGTTGTCGTGGTGAGGGTCATTAAAACTACATAAAGTACATTATATTTTCAATTGTTCTTGTTTTTGAATTTCTGAAAGTAGCTGGATCTCGTAGATTTTTAAATTTTTTGTTTGTAAAAATTTTGTTTGTTTATTTTGAAAGTGACCGTAAAAATTATTAATCACATGTGTAATACAAGATCTGTTCAATGTTAAAAAAATTTTTTATCGCTTCTTGTATTAAAATAGAGAAAAAAATCCTCAATCAATTCCTTATGAAACTTCATATAGGCTAAAAAAAACACGCAAATTATTTATTTACAAATAAAAATTTCTTTAACTATTATAAAAAAAAGATCTTAAAACAGAAGAATGAAAGTGTAAAAATGGGAAAGCATCAAAATAAGGTTGGGTGGTAAATAATTTTTTTTGAGACAAAATTCTGTCTTATAAAATTAAAGCATGGAAATGCAACACACTATGATAATTAAATCCTAACTAAGTTCCACTGTCAAACGTAACGGTGTATGAAGGTGCACATTGTCTCGATAAAAAATAAAATTAATCATTATTTTCCTGGATTTCGTTGTTAGGAGGATTCATGCCGTTATGAATTGGATTTGCTTCTAGTGCAGTATTCAGGTTGTTACTTCTAGTTGAATCGTACTATTAGGTGAAGTCATAGTAAAGAATTTATGAATACGAAAGTCTTGATTAGGTGGGAGTGCATCAACTACCCCAAGAACACCAAAAAATTTTTGGTAACGTGACTTTGTACTACTAATCTAAAAATAGTAGATATATTGATGAAAAGTAATATTTTTCACAGTTCTTACACCGTCACTTTACTACCACACGTGATTTCGTGATTTTTGTGGCGTAAATTAGCCACTCATTAAAATTACGAAAAATTTCTAAAAATCCAAGAATCCAAAATTATAAAGATAATAAGATAATACGTTCTATAAATAAAAGTGAAAATAAAAATTTTCTCATTTTTATCTTATTTTTAAAGCAATATTAAAAAAAATACTATACACATTAATTGCAAAATTAATTGCATTATGACACGTAAAAATTTATTTTTTTTGTAAAAAAAAAAAAAAAAAAAAAAAATCACAAAAGTTTCGACACCATCAATCAACACTCGCCCATTCATCGATTTCCGGTTTCATCAGCTAAAGAGAAATTTAATGATTCCCTTATATTGATGCATGTTTATATGGATATTTCTTGGGTTTTTAAATCTTTACCTTCTACTTATTATTTTGTTATAGATTTCTAATTTGGTAAATTTTCTTATTAATATTTGGTTACAACATAATCATTTCATTTTATTTAGAATTAGGGTGGCTAACAAGCATTTAACTGGACTTTGGCTATTATGGCTATTACTACTTTTTTTTTCAATTATGTTTTATGCTTTTTGTTAGAATTTTGCGTAGTGGAAATATGCCAATAAATTGATTCATTTAGGATTTTTCTGCAATAATTCTTTTGAGATACAGTGTTTTTTAAAACTTGCATTTAGACTAAAGAGTGAATAATTTATATACACCTAATAGTTGGTCACATGATGAGGTTACAATGAAGTTAAATGTTAGTACAGTCAGAACTCGATATAACGAGCCCTTCGTCCAAGCCATTTTGGGTCGTTATATCGAATATTCAATAAATCAAATATTTCTATTATACCTTTAGTAATTTGTACCAGTGACAACACCGATCATTACATCATTAGTGCGACCTAACTAAAATAAAAGATACTGACAAAGACAATAAACTATATTTTCGTAAATTTTCGTAAATTTTTGTTAAAAATGGCATCAAAGTTGTCGAACGTATTACACAAGGAATATAATACTATTCTTGAATCTACAGAATTTTATGATACTGAAATCTTAATTGGTGAATACCCTTATACAGAAACTTTTAAAGTCATTCTTTGATATTGAAAATTATTTTCGTGCTGCACTATCAAACTGTTAGATAAAAAAAGAAAATAATATTATTAAGTTGAAAAAACCAAATATTTCAGCTAAAATATTTAACATACTTATTAAGTAAGAAAATTATTTATTATGTTACCTACATTTATATGATATGTATAAAAATTAACATAAATTTTATTCAAATTTTTTTAGCTATATATATAGCAGTAATATTGACCTTTCCCAAGAATAATATCAAAACAACAAATGTTAAACTTTTAATTGCTGCTGATGAACTGTGTCTTGGTGATCTATGCAATTTTATTGAGAAATATTTCCTTGAAAACAAAAGATTATTAGAACAAAATCTGGTTTTAATTCAGGATATTACGACAAAATTTTCTCAATTTAAAGAATTATCCCGTTTCTATAAAAAGGCCATCCGAAGAGATCCTTCATTAATCTTTAAAGCAAGTGATTTCATTAATATTAAAGAAGATACTCTTCTTTATTTACTTGAATAAAATGATCGTTCTTTAAGACCAATTGAAATTTGAGATAGGCTTATGGAATGGTGTATTGCACAATCATCTGAACTATTACTATCTGATGCATCAAATTGGACACCTAGTGAAATAGAAATAATTGGTAATTTTCTTCAACCATTCATTCCATACATAAACCATTTAAGGGTATTTTTGATAATAATTTTTATGTTAAAATTCTTGAATATTATTCTTTTAATTATCATAAGCGGGATCCCTTTTCTTTATCTTATGAAGAAGAAGAAGAAGATGATGATGATGATAGTGAAATGACGGATCAATATTAATCTTATACATATACTTTCTTTAATTCTTTTTCTTTTAGAAAAATATAATAATAAAACTTTTGGCGAATTAGTATGCCAACGTAACACACTTTAATCCAATCATTATATATTACTGTATTCGCATTTTCTGAAATATTTACGCTAAAAAATTATTTCCTTCTGTTCATAAAAATTTCCCAGTTTGATGAACAAATAATTGCGATGTATAATCTTAAGTAGTATAGGAAATATTTCATTTAAATTTATAATATTTAAAGAATATAGTGAACCTGGATACTAATCTCATTAATATAGCCGTTTAAATAAAACTTACAATTTTACAAACCTATTCGAAAAGATACTCAATTTTTAATTAGGATGACGTCTATACTACATTGTATTTCACTATAAAAGTCTTTGAATTATTTATTTATTCAAATTAAAGTTTTCCCGATAAATAAATATCATTAAATAAGTATCCATATTTGCTTTTAGGTAAATTTAGAGTTAAACAGTTTTCTCTCGATTCTAATACATCTCTTGATGATCGTACTCTCATTTCATTTTCATATTCTCGTATACAATTTTTATATCCATCTTTTTCATAATTTGAAAGACACTTTACAAGCAATTCAGCATCTTGTAAAGCATTATTTGCACCTAATTTTAAAAAAATATATAAATAAATAATATCAAATCGAATAAAATCAATTACATAAATTAGTTATATACCATAACCTAAGAAAGGATTCATGGCGTGTACTGCATCGCCCAATAAGGTGACCCTCGTAGATTCCCAAGCTTCAACAGACATTGGATTAATATCTTGTACTGGTCTTCTCCTTGGAGGATTATAAGTTCTATAAAATGTTTTTTCATATTTTTTTGGTGGCGAAGCTGGTGCAATTGAAACCAATTCCAACAAAATTTCTGTTAACTCACAAGGTTCCCTATGCTGTTTGATCAATGTTTTTATATGATCAATTACTGATTGAGGATTATTGTCATCTACATTAATATTCTTATTTCTCGTATCCCAGTACGTATAGTAAGTATAACAAATGGTTATTCGATAATGTATCTGATCATCTGGTGTATTTTCTGTTATATCATTTTCAATTGGAATTAACCGCATTAAAGAAAATGTTGTGTCTCCATCTTGACCAAAAGTTTTTTGATTTAGAATATTTCCATTCAGTGCAATAATACGATCCATAAGTTTCTTATTTGGGGTGACATCTATAAGTATCTGTGTAATTCCATAATCAAATAATTGTAAATGTGGTAATCTTTGTTTTCGTACTATAAAAAGAAAGAAGAAAAAAAAAATTTATTAATGCTAAACAATTTTTTTTTCCCTTTTTTTTACTTTTTTTTAATAAATAAATAAATAAATAAAATACTTGAAGAATTAATTCCATCGCATCCAATCAGGATATCCCCCCTTACTCTCGTTCCATCTTGAAAAATAGCCCAAACTTCATCATCAAATTCATCGTATCCAATACATTTCTTTCCCCATTGTATATTTACGCCTTCCAGCATCAAATCTCTTAATCTATCTCGATAAGAAATAAGTAAACGAGTGGATGTTAGTTCAAATAAAGATTTAAAGTGTGTTGGTGATGTTCTGAATAATTCTGTTCCTTTATGATCACAATGTAATACACCATGATATTCTTTTTCGTGTATTGGATTTGGTATAACTTCTGGAAGACGAGTAACAAGTGTCTCTGGAAGACCTGTCTCTTATACACATCTAGATGTGTATAAGTGGAAGACGAGTAACAAGTGTCTCTGGAAGACAAGAAATTAAAGACCTTATTCCATAAGAATTTATTCCAATATTATACCCTTGCCACCGATCTGATAAAAAAAAAAAAAAAATTTCAATTATCAAGTAAAATAATTGAAATAATATTAATAATATACCTTGTGGTCCAATATCTCGCTCAAATATTACTACGTTAAATTTTTTCACATTTTTATTTAAGTGTTTTTGAATTCCATGATGAAGTAATAATCCACCAAGCCCTGCACCAATAATTAAAATTGTAGGAATATGATTATTTGACATTTCGAAAGTTAAGAAAAAAATTATAATGTAAATCATTTATTATTTATTCAATTTTTATAGTGAAATATGGACTAACTTTGTGTGAGAAAAACTAACTAAAGTAAGTTAACAGATGTGTTCCCCGTGTAAAGGGATCAAAAAAGAAAAACGGAAAAGCTAAACACAGTAAAACTACGCCGCTGCGTTAACTCAATTTAATAGTAGCACACCCAATCATTATTTAATCATCACTGTTTTCCATATGAAATGTCGATCGACTACAAAAAGTGTTCGGACAGATCTTTTTTAAAAAATTTAAATCACAATATCTCGCCATCCAGTGATCATAGAAGGGTAAAATATGGTTCGTTAGATTCGTCGTATCCAGGAGCATCTAATGGTGGTTGATCCATGATTCTAGGTTCAATAGACAGCAAAGTATTTATAAAGTCTTTAAAATGAAACTTTTCATCTATTAGTGCTAAAGACATGAAAAAACGCCACCATTAGATGCGTCTTATTATAACGAATCCAATGAGCTATGGTTCATCTTTCTACGACCAATAGATGATGAAGCACCTCCCTACTTAAACTACGCCATTTTTTAAAAAATTTAAACAATAACAAATATTTTTTCTATTTTTTTTTTATAAAACGCTAAGCCTGAAAAAAAGCTTATCAAATTTGGTTAGATCTATCTACAGTAAGTAATTCCATTTTTAAAAAAGCAGGCAAAAATTCTATTCATTAAACAATTTATATTTAATAACGATATATGGTCATTATAACAAATAACTGAAAGTTGAATTTTACTATAAATAAAAATTTTACTGGTATGCGCGTTGCTTATATTGACAACAACTTGTTATAATTATTTATTAGAAGCATTCATTGAATAAATGTAATGTTACTTTATATTGTTGATAAAAATATCAATAATAAACAGTATTAGTTATATATATATATCCATTATCTCACGCCTAAAGTATTTCTAGAATAAAAGTAGGTCTAAAAAAAGAAAATTTTGAAACGGCATACATAAAATATGTCTAAAAAAGATAAATAACTAAACTTAAATTCTAAATATGTGCAATTCATTTTTTATTCTTTGTCCTATTTTGTTTACGAGTTTAAGGAGCTTTTTTCATATGCTAATTTTGCTAACGGCTAAAGATTAATTAAGAAAGTGAGAATAACGAGAAAATTCTCAGCAAAAATTCTCCAAGAAAAGGAAAAAAAAAATGATAAAAATAAAATCTTTTTACATATAATAACGAGACTTTATCTTTAGGAATATGCAATATTTTATATAAAATGGTATTATTCTTGTTCTTCTTTTTAAAAATAATTATTTAATACTTTTCATAATTTTACAAACGATTTTAAAATGAATAACTTACTTGTTATCTTCTTGATTTTCGTGACATTCGCCTCGTCAACTCCAATAAGACGTCAAGATGCGCTTAGCGGTTTTAAACCGTGTAAAGGTATTAATTTTCCAAACGAAATTACCACCTACATTTACACTCCTAATCCATTGCAAGCGGGTCAAGAAGCAACTATTCATATTGCCGGTAAAGCAACTGTAACTATTGAAAACGGTGCATTGTATAATATTACGGGAATAACGGGATTTGATGATACACAAATATCCCATCGTGAAATTAGTTTTTGTGAAGCGATTGTGACGCCTAGTGGATTCACCTGTCCAGTAAAGGAGAATTTTGATTTTATCGCAAAGTTTGTGGAAGCATCATCTCCTAATGACCCTAAAAATACTGTAAAAGAATATTTAATAAGAATACAGAGTGAGTTTTTAACAAAATTTTGAGTTTTAACTTTAATAATTATTTTAATTAATAACCTTTTATTATGTTTTATATAGTAACAAATCCTGACGGTAAAGATTTATCATGTATTGAAGGGAACATCAAAATTTCTTATCCATAATCGATAAGATAAAGTTTATATTTACTATAATACAGTAATAGATTATAATATTTCTATTTTTCTATTATCAATTAATAAAGTATTTTTAAGAACATGATTTTTACGTATAAATATACTTTAAATGCTATTTTTATTTTATATTGTTTTTATACAAATCCATCCATAATCCGTAAAAGCCCCTGAAAGCATACTTTTACATTACAGCATTAATTAATTTCGGTAATTCGGAATGTTTCGGTAACATGCATCCGTATTTACAGTAATTGATCAAAAACAATAGGGTTATTTACTGTAACGATTGTACGAATAATAATGATTATACAAAACGGCTCATATTTCCGGAATTAATAACCTTATATCACGGAATTTATCCAATTATTTACATTTTCCGTGAATGGTTCCATGAAAGGCTCATTTTTACGGAGTTTTTACAAAAAATAACGGATAAATTTTTTATAAAGGGGAAACAAACATGATAATTAAAATTTCGTGTAAAATCGGAAATCTTCGGTACCATTCAATTTTAGAAAAGTGAGGGGGTGCTTTAAACATATTTGGATATTTGTTCAAATTACCTTTGAAATTTTCAAAGGGAGGAAAATTAATTTGGAACGTCCTTATTTGCTAAATATGGATAAAGTTAATGATGTCGATCGTTAATAAACGATTTATGAATGATGAGTGAGATTGCGCATTTTTCTTTTTATTCGTTATCTAACCAAAAAAAGCAAGGGAGACGTTTCGCTTTAACGATTATTATAATAGGATAATTCATATAATTGATATTGATTTTCGCGAGGGATCTTTCCTAGTGAAATTACTTCATATAATTTTATTACCTATCCAATTGTAGGTTAATTAGTTACTGATCATATGATCGGTAAAGTAATTGTACTCAAGCATCGTTGAAGCATTCGATATAATATATCAATGAACTAAAGTTAGAACATGAAAATTTTTGGGGATTCACTTATCAGTAACGGATGATTTTGATCTAACCGTGAATATTACGGCAAAAACTATCCCTAATGATCCTAAAAATTCCGTACTTGAATTCTTTACGATGACGCTTAGTAGCATAAAAATTTGACTTTATAAAACTTTGTTCATTAATGACTTTATTATATCTGTTATCTCAACAGATGGAAAAATAGATTTAACTAACACTATTAAAAAATGTGATTATGTTATTGGAATGATGAAACAATTTAATGAACTTCTGACAGGAGATGAAAATAAAAATTGCTCAAAAGATTATCTAAAAGACAATGATAACAGTGATTATAGAATTCTTTACAACACGTGGTCAAAAGAGCCTAGAAATAAATTTATAAGTCGATATGTGGAGAATACTGAAATCAATGGACCGGTTATTATCATAAAAGAGAACGGTAATATAGAATTAGATGCACATAAAACATTAGAAAAAAATGTTTTGTGCAAAAATGACTCCGAGGAATTAAGTACACTAATAATTGTTAATATGATTGTTTTAAATTGTCCATGGAAAATTAATTTTTTTTTATTACGAGTAATATTATCGACAAGTATATTTTTGTAATTTGTATCTGTACTCTGTACCTAGGGGTTAGATAAATATACAGGGGGGCCAACGCATAGGTTATACTGACAGCTGATTAGTGATCGCCAGAACTGACACCATATGTAAATTACTATGTATTACTAGTAAAATGTAACGATACCCATGTTTAAAGTGAAAGATCTGCCGATAATCAACCCATCACAAAATAAAAACTATTTTTCGGAAATGACAAGTTTATCGTGTTTATCGTTACGTATTTTTTTTTTGTTAGTTTCATTTCTGTATTTTTCAAAAAATAGGATTGGCTATTTGAAATACCTCAAAACTATATGAAAAATTATTACACACTTGAAAATAATATATAATAAAAGAAGAAACACTATTTTTAAATGTTTAAGCAAAAATATTTTATAACTTTTTATTGGAATCTCAAAAAAAAGTATAATTCTAACTTTCTAATATAAAAGTAACAAATACATATAAAATTAAGAACAAAGCAACCAGTAGTTCAATTTTGATAAAAAAACTACATCTACATAGAGCTAACATATACAACCTTAACTTTTAAGATCGGCTGCTTCTCTATCTATGCGCGTCGAAAAAATTAAAAAAAAGTAAAATTTTTGCGCGATTTAATAAGAAAATTCGTTTGGTAACCAATTTATGGTGGTGACCAGCCTGTGTAACCTATGAGTTGGCCCCACCCGTATATTTATCTAACCCCTAGTCTGTACCTTACATTAAATTCTATTACACGAACTTTCGAACAACATTATTACAAACTATTGTACAGTATTTAATAAAAATAAAAATAAAAAATTATTACATTAGCATTATTGCATTATCATTTTTATTATATAAATTGAATTATTTTTCCTTGACATATGTAACAAAGATGAAACAAAACAAATGCGATCAATGTAATAATCCTTCAACAACTATTAAATGGCACCACGATTCAATTAATCAAAGCTGTTCTATAAATAATTGTTATTATAATTGGTATCATGACCATAAGTTATGTAAATCGTGTAAAACGAATCTAATAAATTATAAAAATGACAATAAATTTATAAAAAATACTTAATCTTAATTCTCATTATGATCGAAATCAACCTACATAAATATGAGTTCAAAATCGATATACATAACAAGATTGAAATTTTATATTAAAATTCAATCTCAATCTCAATCACGTTTTTTGTGAAGACGCCCATACTTGAAGATGGTTAATTGCTTATTAAACATGTCAAAATATCCAAATCTTATGTTTCACAAATCAGTATTAAGAATTCGAAAATTTATTAGTAAATTGCTACCCTTATATATATATTTATGGGTCCTATAATTATAACTCTTAATCTTGAAGTTAAATTTTTTCTTTTAAAATTTATAACTATTTTATAACTACTTGAAATACTTCATAATTCTCTACTGCAAAATTAGGAGTATTTAAAGTATTTGGAATGCCTATATCAGGATAGTAAGTAGCATTATTATCATGATTTTTCCATTCGTTGTTACCATAACATAGGAAAATACCCATGTGTGGACCTTGGTCATTAGAACAAAAAATAGCATTATTTGGCTTTTTAACATAGCCTAATTTTGCAGTAGAAATATTATTTCCATCTGTAAAGTTAAATAGAAAACTATCTGCTGTATATTTAAAACCATATCCATTCCAATCTAATGGATTATATCCTCCAATTAATTGTGTCGAACCTTGAAATTTTGCTACCCAAATAGTAGCTCCTTTATTATCACAATTTCTATGAAATGATTTAGCATTAAATCCATCCCGACCTGAACGATATAATAATTTGAAATCATAGGTAATATTTTTGTTATTGTAATATGAAGAATCATTTCTATCAATCCATGAAGCTAAAAGGGGGATGTGGTTTGATTGAATTATGGTTGAATCAAGTTTAATTTTTAAATTTGATTTTCTTGATGGGGCTAAATTAGTTTTAGGTTTCATATTAGGAACAACATGATATTCTAAGAGATCATGAATTAAGTCTTGTGGTAAGATATCTTTATAATTATAAACTTTATAAAAGAAATCTGTAGGTTCAATATCATAAAATCTAATTAGTGGAATAAACTTGTGTAACGACCGTTCAATTCTTGTCATATCATCTTTGTTCCATTTTGCTGGATTATTTTCCATATTTTGTTGAGCAAAACACCATTTCAATAAACTTTCCCAAATCTTAATTTCATCCATGTTTAAATCTTCCCTTTTTAATAACAATTCCAATAAAGGTGCTTTTAAATTAACAAATTTGTCAGAATTAAATAAAATTTTAGGATCTTCACAAATCTTTTCAAGACAAAAATTCCATAAATCTGTAAATGTTTCATGTTGATAGACAGTTTCAAGAATGCCAGCTGGATTTTGATGCAAAAATTCAGTTTGATGTTTAATCAAATATTCTTGAATATGAGAAATTAATTGTTGAATATTTAATTCGTCCACGGCTATTAACAATTTCAATACATCTGGTCCTTGTAAATTTTTCAATTCAATATTTCCACTGTAAATAAACCTAAAGATTATGAGATAGTGAAAATATTAATAATCTTATATAAAAGTATGGAATGTCAAAAACTTCATTATAATAAATAATATTTAATACCTAAGAATGATGTCAAATAAATGAGGCGAAATATTTGGTTTTTTTAAAATAAATTTTCCATCTTTTTTTTCAGCCCATTCATTAGAAAATGCTGTACGAAAATATTTTGATCTAATACATAAAATATTTGAATGAGCATGGATTTCTTTAACATTTAGTTCATCTCCAGCATAAATAATAACATCATATCCTATTTCAGTTTCGAAAAGTTTTTCATAATCATTTGATAATTCTTCTAAAAATTTTGAAGACATTGTTAAGAAAAGTATGTGTTTATTTTAAAGAGAAAAAATTTGTTACCCTATTTGAGAATAAAATTAACCTTATATATTAATTTTATGATGATTCATGTATCAACTGCGTGTGTAACAGTTTTCTTGTTTCTCTAAAAAGTAATGATTAACTATAATTGGTTTGACATATTTTAAACAAGTTCGTTTTAATTTTAATAAACGGACTTAAGCATTTAATAATCATTTAGTATATTTACAAAGTCTTAATTATTTTCGCATGTATAATTTTTTTTTGTCGAATTTTCTCCTTTACAAATTCATAATAATTGAATACTAATAATAAATAATTGTAAAGAAAAAAATTATAATAATAAATGTATTATTCTAATTCATAAAAAACATATTTTTATTAAGAATTTAAATGTCTAGTGCACTTAACTAAATTTATGAAAGATTACAAATTCAAATTAAAAAATTATACATTTATATTTTTATTTTTCTACTTCTTAATTACTTGAAATACTTCATAATTCTCTACTGTAAAACTAAACTTATTTTGAATACCTATCGCTATATTAGGATAGTGAGTACCTTGAGTATCATAATTAATCCAATCATTATTGTTATTACAGAAGAAATCACCCATGTGTGGACCTTGATTATTAGAACAATAAATAGCCTTATTTGGATTTTTAACATAACCTAATTTTGCAGTAGAAATATTTTTTCCATCTGCAAAACTAAATAGAAAACTATCCCTAGTAGTTTTCCAAACATCATTTCCACTCCAATCAAGTGGATTATATCCACCAACTAATTGTGATGAGCCTTGAATTTTTGCTATCCAAATAGTAGCTCCCTTATTATCACAATTTTTATGAAATGATGCAGCATCAAAACCATCCCGACCTGAATGATATAATAATTTAAAATCATAAGGTACATTGTTATTATCATAATGTGAAGAATCCTTTCTATCAATCCATGAAGCAAAAAGTGGAGTATGATTTGATTGAATTAAGGTTGAATTAAGTTTAAATTTTAAATTTGGTTTTCTTGATGGCGCTACATTAGTTTTAGGTTTCATATTAGGAACAATATGAAATTCTAAAAGATCATGAATCAAGTCTTGTGGTAAGATATTCTTATAATTGTAAACTTTATAGAAGAAATCTATAGATTTAATATCATAAAATCTAATTAATGGGATAAACCTGTGTAACGACCTCTCAATTTTTGTAATGTCATCTTTACTCCATTTTGTTGGATCATTTTCCATATTTTGTTGAGATAAACACCACTTCAATAAACCTTCCCAAATTTCAATTTCATCAATGTTTAGGTCATCTCTTTTTACTAATAATTCTAATAATTGTACTTTTAAATTAATAAAATTTCCAGAGTCAAACAAAATTTTAGGTTCTTCACAAATTATTTGTAGACAATAATTCCATAAATCTGTAAATGTTTCATGCTGATAAACAGTTTCAAGAATACTAATAGCATTCTGATGCAAAAATTCAGTTTGATGTTTAATCAGATATTCTTGAATATAAAAAACCAATTGTTGAATATTAATTTCATCCACAGCTATCAACAATTTCAATATATCTGATCCTTGTAAATTTTTTAATTCAATATTTCCACTGTAAATAAATCTAAATACATTGGAATAATTAAAAAAAGAAAAAAAAATTTAGTAATCTTAATTAAAATGTTAATACTATTATAAATTATGCAAAAATTACCTAAGAATGATGTCAAATAAGTGAGAAGGAATATTTGGTTTTCTGAAAATAAATTTTCCATCATTTTTTTCAGCCCATTCATTAGAAAAAGCCGTACGAAAATATTTTGACCTAATACATAAAATATTTGAATGAGCATGAATTTCTTTAACGTTTGGTTCTTCTCCTGCATAAATAATAACGTCATATCCTATTTCTGCTTCGAAAAGTTTTTCATAATCGTTGGATAACTCTTTCCAAAATTTTGAAGACATTGTAGAAAGCCGTACGTTTGTTACTAGGGTAGAAAATTTCAAACAGCTGAAAGTAAAAAAATGATTAACCTTAAATATTGATTATTTATGACGATCAATGTTTCATATGCAGTTTGTACGAGATTTAATATTTTAATGACGAATTTGTAGCTTAGTATAATAAATGTGATTCTAAACAGTTCATTTTATTAGAAAAATTCACAATATACCTTAAATTACGGCGATTTTAAACATTTAACAAGTAGCAAATAATTTGCATTTATAAATAGTCTTGAAAATACTAGATTTTCATTGAATTTTTATAGAAAATTTTATAAATTTACTAAGCATTCTAAATGAACATTTGAATTTAGAATTAAGACAATGATAGTTGTATTACAAACCGGGAAACATCATTTTACACTATAAGTAATAATTTAATTGTTTGTTTCGCATACTTTTCCATAAACTTCTTTATTCACAACATCAAAATTCAATATAATTGGTTAAGTTTGAAAATAAATATATTCCAATTTTTCAAAATATATAAACGTTCACATTTTAATATAAAATTAGTATCAAATGTATAGTATTATTTATATTTTTATGGTCATAAACAATAAATATCGTACGACAATATAATTTTATTTATTTTTAGAAGTCAATAAGTATAAAAGGGGATTGTTGGCTTTATATCATCCTGAAGATTTTTTAATTTATGTATCATGTCACTTTTATAATAATGTATGAAATATAATATAAAACATAATAAAATAATGTATATGTAAAATTCAACTAATTGTAATAATCTAACGTTAAAAATAGTTTATGTATAATCTAATTATTGGAGGATTTTTTTTTAACGAAATATATTTTTCGTTGTTTATTTATTTCTGAAATTTCCAGACAAAAAAAATTTCTTTTTTTGTTAATTGTAATCAACATCACATGTATCACGTGCCTTGTGATATTTTGTGGCTTATTTTCACATGTCTTAGCACAGCCGAAATTTAATTATAGAAGTCATTGTGTTATTTACTTATTTTTTTTTTAAAAACTTATTGTTTATCTTTTTATGGTCTGAGATTAGAAAAGTTCTATGGAATTTAATTCTTTATAGGTGAGATTGACAGAGATAGTAAGCAAAAATTTGTGAAATGATAAATTTCATAATTTGAAAATTATTAATAGAAATAAGTTAACAATAGAAGTTTACCAGAAACGTGAAATAAGGACTCCATTGAATACTCCCTCTCTTGAAAATGCCATATATAAACGTCATATATTTAGCTTGCTTACTACATTTTACTCAATTTTACTCATATTTTAAAAATATTTTCTCCATATTCAACTTATTCAACTCAACTACACGTTTGTATTACATTATTTCTAAGAATTGAAAATAAAACAAATAAATAAAATGTTCTTTCCTTCAAGTACTTCTGATTTCTTTTGGTCAAAACAGTAGAATAATATGAGAACTTGTACTTAGAATTTAAAATCTTTATAATGAAAATTACTGGTTTCATTAACTAGATAGTTTTTTAAGAAAATGGCTTTTAAGTTGGACTAAGGGAATTACCAATTAATGACTTAAATAACCATCTGAAAGTAAGTTCTATCATTAAATAGTTTAATGTTTTATATCATGCTTTTTATTTAACAAATGAATGTCCTTATCATTAAACAATACCTCTGTTATTGTAGAAAAGAGTAATCGCATGAATTCATTGGAATACCAAATTTATAATGCAGAGATTTATAAATAATCCCTTTCTCGTATTAGGTACCTCGCAATAATCAACTAAGTTTGTAAAAATTGACTTCGACAAATGAGAACTTTGAGGAAGAAAATAACGAAATTAATTTTGGAGAGTACTCTACTATTATTTTAGAGGTTAACTTATCAATCTTAATGATTCTTTTGATTACAAAAAGGAAGAGGCGATCAAAACATTGATGGGTTAAAGAATTAGGGTAAAAAGAATAGATGAATTAAAAGATTTGAAGTTATCATATGTACAAAAATACTGAAAATAAAGAAAAGAAAGTGGACTCAGAGATTGATTTTTATAATAGCAAATATCACTCATGAATTGGTTATAAAGCTTTTATTATTTACCTATAGTAAAATTTGGGTAAACCGTAATGGAAAATCGAAATATGGTTTGGCATTCAGGTATGAAAAATATTATGCTGATTATTTATAAAGCCTTATTATTTTCTGGACGATTTCTAAAAATTATTTACTCATATGTACAGCTAAACCCATTGAAAAAATATTCTTTTAAAATATCTAATGGTAAAAGAGATACAAATACAGAAGTGATAATATATATATATATAATAATGGACTATTTGATTCATTAGGTAATGATATAGAAATGAATGCAGTATATACTTGAATTTGATAACAAAGTGAATTCATAAAAGATAAAAAATCGGATGGAGATTGATCATTTTGATGTTTCAATATAGGAGGAACTAAATACTAGATAAGAGAGAATAATTATTTGCATACGGTATTACAATTCTATGTTCCATAAAAAGTATTATTATGTCAGATATTGATGCTTATTATGAAGGCTAATAAAGAAATTGTGGTTCAATACATTTGTTAAATGACATTATCAATGTAAACATCTAAATATCTTAATTTATTTTTATCATTATCATTGTCAAATACCAAAGCTATATATGTTTAAATATAACAATTTTATTAATTTACTTTCGGAAATTTTCATTTAATTTAAATAAAGCTCGTCATTCAATTGATATTTTAAGGAATTGTATTTATTTTTACTTTTAATATATTATATATTTAAATTCTTTAATATTGTTTATCATCTTTTGTTACGTTCCAAATAAAACGATTGTGGTCATATGATAGTAATGAGTAATAAAATTATCAAGTTTTAACTGGAAGAGTATTCAGTTAATGAAATATTAGATTTTTATAACTACAAATTATTTATTAAAGAAATGAAATTTTAACAAATGATTTTTCTCAATTAGACTACTCTCTTATATATATTATAAGCATGAAGTCTTTTCACTAGAAACAATTTACTGCTTAACCTTAAAATCACACTTTGAAAATTAGAACTTATATCTTGGTCATACTTTCTGATATATGGATATTAAGAAATATATTTTGTCTTAACATATATAAAATGTCTTTAGAGACAAAAAATAAGATTTAATAGTATTCGATAGTTTAGTATATTACATAAGGTGTATTCTCGGATACAGTAACTATATAATATTTTTAATGTTTTTGTTTCGACAAATCACCTCATACAATGATCCGATGACACATATTAATGCTCGGTGGTTCAATAATTTAACCACCTTAATCGCTTTAATAGAAGGTTGCGAACTATGACCAAAAATACAATACAATAAAATTACTTTCATTTCATATGAAAATTGCCTCGTTAAAATCTAGGAAATTCTTTTTTTATTTTTAAAAAAAGAACATAACTGATAATAGAATAATAAAACGAAATCAAATAAGTAACTTTAATGATATTTACAAAGCTATTTTCTTGTAAATTGTTAAATTCAAAGACATTGACAGATTTCTTTTTTTGAACTGGCGCATTTTGAAACATTAAAAATTCTTTTATAAATAATTTTATTATATATCCTTATAGGATCACACTGTATTTTTTTTACATTTATTGAATAGCTTTATTGATGATATATATATAAATAAATACTGTTTAAATCATTACAAATACATAATAAAATTAGATTTTTATACAAATAGACTATAAATTAATTCGTGACTGATTTAATAGTGTGACCGTGAGAGTCTATATAATAAAACACTTATTGTATAGGTCTTTAGGCAATACTTTGCCATTTTCGATCTCAACCATTTGATCGGTCATATTGTACCACTTCGTGGCACAAACTGAGCCAATCAAATGGCCTCAATCGACACGTTATTGCCTAAATACTATACAATAAGTATATATTATTGCTACAATTGCAAAATATCAAGTTTACATTCACTCAATTACATTTTTGCAAAAGAATTGATATTTTTATAAATTCCAAAATATTATTATAATATTGTATTATGTTCATCATATATATGAAAGATATACTTGATATAATTAACTTGCCTTATTTAAAAAAAAAATAATACTTTATTTCTATTCTATACATTAAACCGGTCCAAAAATTTTAGGAACGAAACAAATGGCGGAAGGTTCCAACGTTATTAATAAAGTTTTTTTAGCACTGGACAACCTTTGCCAACTGTTTATTCATTCCTTTAGTTACATTTTGATACCGGTTTCGTGGAGAGTTGATATACAAAAGGGCAAGATATTTCATTAACCAAAGCTCGAGAGTTTCATATATATCGAAAATATAGCCTTGACGGCGATGAACCAAATGGTAAATGACACAAAATACAGAAAATTTAGTACTTTTATCTTCTTTTCTCGATGGCCTTTGGTATACTGGGTCTTGAAATTGGGTTTCCTGGGGATTTTTTTTCATCTTGCGGCGCAGCACAAATTTTTTAGCACGTGGCGGATGATCCAAGATTTTGTGGTGACGTCATTTTACGTTGAAGTCACATTTTATTACGTACCAACAACAAATTTAATGACGTCACATCCGAGCTGTCAGTATCTATCATGTATTTGGATGCGCTTCTACAGGCGGGATGCATCGAAGTTCGACAGGTTGTTTCCGCTTTTACGAGTATGGGGGAGAAGTTCACGTTGTGTAAAAAATTTATACACATGGGGGGGCGTACGAAGTTTAGCCAGTTGGTGTTCACGAATAGAGAGTTATTTGAAGGACTAGGAAGGATGCAGGGTAGTTATCGATTAGTGATATTTAGTGTATGTAGGATTGGGCGGGAGGGGGACATAAGTCTGGTTTCACCGATTCGGCTTAAGGTACTTCAGCGCGATGACATCCTTAGGGTATCTTGCTTGTTTTTATATAAAGTCCTTTGGGATCCGCGGACGTCACTCGTCAAGGCAAATGGAATTTGGTAAGTCAGCTCATGATAACAAAGTATTAGGTTTTTACACATTTAAATAGTCAGAGAACCGTTAGTTTAGTTGGGCTACTTACAAGTTAGTATCGAGCGATGTAGACATCGGATATGTTAATTACTCAATTTATATTTCATGTAGCATGCTTTTTGTTATGTCTTTTGCTGTTGTTATTGTTTATCATGTATTTATATAGATACTTTATTTAACGCATATTGAGTCCGGTGCTTGACGAGTTGACGTGTACAAAGTTGTATGAACATCTTATTAATAAAGTTTTGAATTTAAAAAAAAGTATTATTCGTAGCATTTTAATACCTACAAAGAATTCCTATATTAGAAATACCGCCATAATTAACCTAGAATTACCCCTTGCTTATTAGCAAATAATAACTCAATATTGTAGAGAAATAGCTGTTTACAAATATAATATGAGTATATATAATGATATATAAATTTCTTGACTCAAAAATTTTGACATCAAAATACTTACAGATCTGTGATTAACTATTTTTGTTCACTCTGTTTGTCTTTTTTTTTGTTAATCAAAAATTAATTAACCATGGGAACACGAATTCTGCAACAAAGAGCTCATAAGGGTGAGCCAGCACAACTATGAGTACTTTGTATGTATTAACAACGTGTCAAAGGTGATGTGGTGGACTGGCTGGCAAAGTTTTTTTGCAAATTTTTTTATGACTATTCTTCAAGATATATGAATACTGGCTTTAGTTTTTGCAGTTAAGGCGTTTATGAAAAAAGATACGTACAAGCCTCTCGTATCTTTAAAGGAAATACTCTGATATGATCGTCAAAGGCATATATCATTATGACTGATCCAACAAGAAACCTTTATGCCAGTGTTAAGTGCACACGGAGGTTGTATTATAACGGCACGGTCTAAAAGTTTATAATAAAGTATTTGTAATGTGTGAAATGAATAGAAGAATCAAAGATTACAAAATTTAGTGATTGATTATGTTGATGGTGAGATAGAAAAGGAGGCAAGATTTTTGACTATTATAACTTAAAATTTAGAGCATGTAACTCAAGGATTGGTTTGCAAATCCTTTTTACTAATCTGTCTTTTTCTTTTGTAGTAAAATTTCAATGTACAATAAAAAACCATAATAAAATAATTGTCATTACGAATTGCTTGCATTTTATGGTTTTTTGGATATTTATTACAGTATACTGATGCATTTATTCTCTCTTGATATATATATAAAAGTGCTAGAAAATTGTTGTGATAAATAAAGCTACAATTTGCTGAATATACCCCAGAGCCCTATTTATTTTTCTTGGAACTTTCACGTACACTTCTGTTGCAGTATAAATTATTTTTGCACATCAGGGTAATTGAACTCGTCATGATTTTATCACGTGATCAATTAAATGTCGTACAGTATATCACATTTCTATGTTCTTTCGAAATCACGCTTTTGCTGTGCTGATCTCTGGAGTCTGGAGATTCATTTCCGGATACGCCAATTTCATCCTCTAAACCCTATATGGCTGTATTCAAAATAAAGGATGATAGAATTTTTAATATCCTCGATTATATATAACTTCATAAAGGAATAGTTTTCCAAAAAGAAACATCTCTTATTATTGCATGTTGAACGAAAGTTCCTTATACTTAAATTCATAAAATAAATTTACTGCAGAAATTTACAAAATTAGAACATTTTTATTTATTTATTTATTTATTACATGATTTTAATTTTCCGGGTCCATCACATGCACACACATGTTTGTGTAACATATTATTAATAATCCACTATAAATTGATGATCATAACTCCAGTTACTCCACACCTAAATACTTTCTTGATCATAACTTTATCCAAAAAAAATGGATGGTGATACAAGTAATATAAAGTCTTTAAAATTTCAAATGATTGTAAAACTTTGTTTAGGATGTAAATTTAAATCAAATTTCTTTGATTGGTGTGACGCATGTAAATTAAAACACTTTAAATTAAATTATGATAAATCCCCAAGTGGAAATAATGAAATTGACAATAGACTTAAATATTACTATTCCAAAAGTGGATTATCAGAAGAATTTATTGAATGGATATCTTATGAAGAATTCAAAGATATTACACATAATGTAGTCAATAAAGAAACTTATAGTGCTTTGTGGTCAAAAGGTTGTATTTGTGATTGGAATAAAGATAAATTTAACTGGAATCGAAAAATTAAAAAAGTAGCATTGGTGAATTTTGAGTATAACATCATTGATTTTTATAGGGTAAGTTATATTACTTTATGAATCTTACATCTGTCTATAAATGATTCTATTTTTAAATGATATTTCATTATAAACACCATTCATTAGGTATTAAAAGAAAAAGAACAATATAAACTTTATGGAATATCTAAGGATCCAACATCACATAGTTATATATTGGTATTTGATGATGAAGTCTATAATCAAAACTTATGTGTAAAATGTCAAATTTTATCCAATTTTTTTTATTGGTGTAAGAGTTGTAAACTGAATCATTTTCAATTAAATTATGGTGAATTTCCAAGTGGAAATGATGAAATTGACAATATTCTTAAAGATCATTATTATGATAGTATATCTCCAAAAGAATTAATTGAATGGATACCTTTCAATGAATTCAGAGAAATTGTACTTACTGCAGATAATAAAGAAATTTATAATGCTTTATGGTCAAAAGGTTGTATTTATGATTGGGATGAAGATAAACTTAGCTGGATTCGAGAAGTTAAAAAAGTAACATTAGTGAATTTTAAGTGTAGTATCAATGATTTTAATATTATGGTAAGTTACAACTTACAATACTTTCTAAAACTTCATCTTCTTTGAATGATTCTATTTTTAACTAAAGAGATATTTCATTGTAAATACCATACATTAGGTATTAAAAGAAAAACTTTATGGAATATCTAAGGATCCAACATCACATAGTTATATATTGGTATTGGATGATGAAGGCTATAATCAAAACTTATGTATAAATTGTCAAATATTGTCCAGTTTTTTTGACTGGTGTAAGAGTTGTAAACTGAATCATTTTCAATTAAATTATGGAGAATTTCCTAGTAAAAATAATGATATTGATAATTTTCTTAAAAATAATTATTGTGAAAGTAGATTATCAGAAGAATTTATTGAATGGATACCTTATAATGAATTTGAAGATATTAAATATACTCGTAGTGAAATATTTAATGCAGTATGGTTAAAAGGTTGTATTTGTGATTGGGATAAAGATAAATTTAGTTGGAATCGAAAAATTAGAAAAGTAATAGCGGTAAAATTTAAATGTGGCTTTGATACTACTATAAAGGTAAGCTGCAATGCTTTTTAAACTTAATTTTTAATGATCTAATTTTTAAGAAATATTTTATTATAAATACTACTATTAGGCATTAGTAGAAAAAGAAGGTTTCAAAATTTATGGAATATCTAAAGACTCAGCATCGCCTAACTATATTTTAGTATTGGACCAAATCTTATGTATAAAATGTCAAGGTCATGGTTATTTTGACTGGTGTAAAAGATGTAAATTGATTAAATTTCAATTAAGTTATGGAGAATATCCCAGTGGAAATAATGATATTGATAATTTTCTTAAAGAAAATTGTTGTGAAAGTAAATTCGATAACGAACTTATTGAATGGATATCTTATATTGAACTTGAAGATATCACATATATTACTATTAGAGAAGATTCTTCAATAAAATATTATACTGCTGAGCGTAATAGGATGGTATTGACACTAATGGAGTTTGAAAATTTAAATGATTTACTTAATTATAAAAATAAAGTAAGTTTCCCTTTACTTTGAGCTTTACCCTTTAAAATAATTTGATCTTTAATTAAAGAGAATGTGACAAATATTATAGATGCAAATAAATATGAAGAAAGAACGTCCAGAACCTTTTAAATCCTATATAATTCATGGAATATCTAAAAATCCTATATCACTTAATTATATATTAGTATTTGAATATTCACAAGACTTTTTGAACTTTTTAAATGAAGTAAGTTTGATATTTAGTTAAATTTTTTGTTTAAAAATTTTAGTTCTAACATTTTTTAAACTTAGCCAAAAGATTATCAGATTATTGGTATTTCTAAAGATGAAAAATATAAATATAATTTGGTAACTTATTTGAAAAATTTTTCTCATTTTTTGTGTTCTGATTGTAAACCTAGAAAAGCTTTATTTTTCAATTGGTGTGATGATTGTAAAATAGAACACTTTAGTCATAATTATAGTGATCTTCCAAGTAAAAATAATGATATTAACATTATTCTTAAAGATAATTATTGTAAAAGTGATAAAATAAGTGAATTTATTGAGTGGATACCTTATAATTTATTTATTGATATTACATATATTAATCAAGGAGGGTTTTCAGAAGTATACAGTGCTTTATGGCTAAACAATAATATATATGAATGGGATCATATAAAATTAGAATGGAAACGTCGTAATGGATATAAAAGTGTAGCATTAAAAGTTCTTAAAAGTTCTTGTTATAATATTTCAGGATTCTTACAAGAAGTAAGCGTGAATTGTAAATTTTATTTTCTTATATTAACATATACAGAGTTATATACTTAATATTTTATTTATTTATAGGTACAATCATATTGTAAAATAGGATTTTCTCATAAAATCACTAAACTTTATGGTATATCAAAAGATCCAGATACACAAAATTATATACTAGTATTAGAATATGCAAGTCACGGAAGTTTGCGAAAATTTTTAGATAAATATAACAAATATTTGATTACAACATATAAAATCCAAATATTAAAAAATATTGCTGAAGGACTTAAAGAAATTCATTCAAAAAATATAATTCATCAAGATATTCATTCCGAAAATATATTAACTAAAGACTTTGATAGAGTTAAAATAACTGATCTTGGATCAAGTAAATTTGTCAATCAAGTAAATGATAAAGAAAAGGAAAAAAAGGTTTATGGAATTTTACCTTATATTGCCCCAGAAGTATTGCGAGGACAGCAATATACCCAAAAAGCAGATATTTATGCGTTTGGAATTATTATTAATGAAGTATTCACTGGAGAAAGACCTTTTCATGATGTAAATAATGATAAATTAAAGCTTATGATGGATATCTGTAAAAATGGGATGAGACCAAAAATTAGTAAAAATACACCAAAATCTTTAGTTCATTTATTAAATAAATGTTGGGATGAAACACCTTTAAATCGACCAACAGCAAATGAAATAATTCAAAAATTAATTCATTTTGAAACTGATGACATTATTTTTGAAGAATTAAGAAATTACAACAATGGAATACTAAAACAATATTCTGAATCAACTAGTAAATTAGGCCATTTAAAAACATTATATAACAGCGAATTACATATAACAAAAGCAATAGAATTTACAGGTAATTTTAAACGGTTATTCACTTTACACTATTTTGAAATTTAATTTATAATTAACTATTAATTTATATAGAATTGTCACAATAAGAACTTTTGGACTGTTGTATTGAAGAATCTGATAGTGTTTCAACAAAGTAAGTAATGGATTATTAAATTTTATTATTGTAATACACATATCTAAAAATGATTTAATTTTATGTTATGATTGCATGATTAAATCAAATTTATCATAAAATTATTATATTTATTTAGGCTGCTCCAAATTAACATTCTTCTCAAATTTTTTGGCCAAAAAGGATGTTAAGCTAATTATTAAATTGGCTTTAATTCTGATGATGCTAACTACCACTTTTTAGTTTTTAGTAATACTTTTAAATTAATCTAACGTTCTTCTTTGCAATCAGGCAAATTATCTTAAAACTTCGTACGTATTACAGTCGTATTACTTTAAGGAAAATATAAGTTAATCAATATTCAGACGTTATTATTATATCTCTTGTCAAACAATTGGTAATATAGAGTACAGTTTTATTTTAAAACAGACCAATTATGTAATTTGACAAGAAATTATATTACATCAATAAATACTTAAATTTTTATTATTGTTATTCCAGAATTTACGATGTATTTAAGTGACTATAATATGTGATTACTAATTAAAACAAAGGTTTTTATTATTAGAATATTAATTTTTAAAAGAATTGTTTGTAAGAACTTTTTTTCGATAAATCTAATTTTTCATCGTAAATATTAAGTCAATGGGTTTCATGTTGAAATGTAAAACATCAAAAAAAAAAATAAAATAAAAAATAAAATAAAAAAATAAGATAAAAAAATAAAAATTAATAAATAAACAATTGAAAATATTCATAATAGTCAAAGATATACGTTTAAATATTCTGTTGAATTCTATAGGCATAGCAAAACCGAACTAACTATTGACATGAATACTATTAATGTAATTTTCCTATTTATTTTGGAGTATAAAGTGTTTAAAATAGTAAGAATTGTATTAAATAAAAAGAACTAGTTTAATTTGGTTACTGAAATTTACTAGTAACTTTATGCAATTTATGCTAGAATTGTAGAATTGCTTTAAATAGTATTATGATCATTCGTATAAAATGATTGAAATTTTTATAATGATATCATATTTATTAGTATGTAATATAATAATAATATAATAATGTTTGTTAAAATAATCCTCTGTCATGTGTTATTTGCCTGTTAAAAATTATTATTATTATTAAAATTTATAAATATACATTTACAATTAATCTTTATTAGCGCACTGGATCACTAATTCATTATTGTACTGTAATTTCAATATATTTGAAAATTGTGGAGAATCAATTCAATATTCAATTTGATTTAGATACGACATACATTTATTAATTCACGGTTAATAATAATTTATAAATCTAATAATGTAAAATATAAAAATCTATTGTTATAAATTGTTTAATTATTTGTAGATTGTATTTTCTGCAAATACAGACTTAAAAATTTTATTATTATGATTTTTACTTTAAAGATAATTTTATTAGTTTCAAATTGAATCAATATTTAATACATTTTTATCGGCTGTTGGTTAATTAAGAGGATTTGTATCACAGTATTCTCTTAATGAACTTTTAAAGGTTTGACGGTATATCAGTATAATTTATAAAGAATTTTTTACCAGTAAATACTTCATTAATGATAATTTCATAAATAACTGTTTTTTGAATATCATAATATTTCTAAAAATCTATTTGTATTATTATTTTTATTTTATTCATCATTTAGTCATAAGGCAATACAGTATTTTTGAAATTTCTCCATACATTATTAATCAACAAATGAAATATAGGTATTAAATAAAGATTATTTGATCAATTTACTTTTTCCTGTTACTATAAATAATTATTATCAAAATTTCCATAGCTAAATTATTTTGTACTATTAAAAATGATAAAAATGTAGTCTAATATTAGATCTTTACATATATCAACAATTACAGAGAGTAAAGAAAACAAATTTAGGACACAAAATATAAATACCAATATAGTATATATATTAATATAAAAGCTTACTTCAACATTGAAAAATTCATACTCAATGTATTTTAAATGCAATGAAATTATAGATTTATTTGATTTACTATAGAAGTTTTGAAGTGACATCATTATGCTCTTTCGAATAAGAAAATAGTTTTATGTTAATATGGTGATTAACAATGCAAGTTTCAAGTTTCAATAATTAATTAACCCTTTTCATGAGGAACATATATAAAGTTTTATTTTTACTGAAAGTTTCCGTATGAATACTTTATCATTACAATAGTTTTTTAAGTCTCTAATATTGGAAAATAAACCCGAATTTGATATTCAACTCGACTATTAGCTGAAATAATTGATCATTTATATGTAATTCCTGTTAGTTTTTCATATAGTTTAATAGTTTCACTAATTTTGTAGTTTATATTGTTTTTAATACAATTATACTTATCTATGACAAAAATAGCTAGTGTATTACTGTAACTCGTGAATCTCACTGTAATTCACTCTGATATAATATTTTTTGGTTAGCTTGCAAACCACTACGTTGTATGTTACATAGTTATAAGAAGCATTTGATTGATAAAATGACAACTTACATACTGTAACTTAGTGTTCTGATCCATAATCCGGCCAATCCGGATTGAATTTGAATATCCGCATCCTACATTTTTAGGCGGATGGATCCGTTAGTGAATCTGGAATTCCGGATGGTAATCCTATCCGGATTATATATATATTTTTTTTTCTTCAATTTTCAGTTTTCCACCATTTCAAAATTTTCTTATGAACCATATGTAATAAGTCATAAGTCATGGCTGATAATCCCTTAAACCCACTTTTTATTCAATTTTTACGAAACGATTGAAACATATAATGAAATAGTAAAAAAATTTTTTTCTTTGAAGACAAAAATTTTTTACAAAATAATTCATTATAAAAAAATACCTAGTAAAATTTTCGAATTATCAATAATGGCAGACGAAATTATTATTAAGGATGAAGATATTACACAAAATCCTTTAGCAGAAAAAGGAAAAGGTAATGCCGAATTTCAATAATTAACGTTAATATTTTTCAATTTCTAATTATAAATTTTTAATTTTATTTAAGAAAAGAAATGGAAACAGGTTCTTTTATTAGTCTCAGAAGTTCTGAAAGCGGAAGTCAAAAAAGGCAAGGTGTAAATAAAGACAAAAACCATCATTTACAAAACAATATTTTGAAAAAGGATATAATATAGAGAGGGAAGAAACTCGTATTTGTACTATTTTAGATAAAGATGGACAGATGGTAACCGATGTGGTAAAAAAAATGTATTGAAACACTGAAAGCTCAATCAAAATCTTATTGCACACTTACGAGATGTTCACCAAATTATTGATGAGGATGAAAATGTGAATAATCCTAAAAGGGTAATTCTTATGCCAAAAAATATCCAAATGTTTAAAGTTTATGATGTAAAAATTTAATACTAATTGATTTTTTTTTTAGTTAAGAAATACAAAAATTACTGATTTTGCTCGATCTTATCAACCTCATCCTAAGCATAATCAAAAGCAACGTGAAGAATCTATTCTTATGGATGCTGCTTACCAACCAACCTATTTCCACTGTTACAAATCCAGCTTATAAAGAAAAAATATCACATTTTGATCCTTCATTTGTAGTACCTGGTAAGCAAAAAATTAAAACAATGATAATTAAAAGTTATATAAACACAATAAACAAAATTTAAAAAATATTTTAAGTAAAACTGCAGCAATGGTGTGTCTCACTACCGATCTTTGGTCCAATAGAGCTAAACAAGGATATATTGGCATCACTGCTACATGGATTACACCAAATTTTAAAGTAAAAGATGTAATGTTAGAAATACAATATGCTCCTTCTTCCATACTGCAAATGTTGTTACTGAATTACTTTATGATTGTATTTCAAATTGGGATCTTAATGAATGTGTAACAGCAATTGTTACTGAAATATGAAGGCAGCATTTCCGATTTTACTCAAAAAAGTCAATGTGAAGCTATTCGGTGAATTCCCTGTACTACACATACGATTCAGTTAGCAATTGGGAAAGGGTTAGCACCTGTTGAAATTTTTAACAGCATGTGCAAAGAGAATAATCAATTTTTTTTTAACACAGAAACAAATTGAAGGATTGGAAGAAGTCCAGCATATAATGATGTAATGCGTTGTATACAAGATGTACCAACGCATTGTAATTCTTCATATTATGTATGGGACCATCTTTTTTATCTTAAAAGATGCAATCATTCAACTTCAAACTGACTTGTATACAAGTACAAATAGAGAGGACAAAAAATGATGGAAGTAAATTAAGAAAAATCTCATTATCTGAGGAAGAATGGGATTTGTTAGATGAATTGGTTGATCATTTACTCCCCTTTGAGGAGGCAACCCGGGAATTTTCAGGAGGAACTTGTGTAACCTTCAGTAAAATGATGCCTAATATTAATGAACTTATTTTTGATTTAGAATTTTAGATAATTCAGATGTTAGTGATATTGATTATCTTAATGAAAATACTATTTGAAGGAGATAATGTAGATGTAGATAATGACAACGAAGAAATTACAAGTAATATTAGTTACTGAAACAAAGATTTCCATTAAAGCGTTAAATACCGAAGAAATGGTAGAAAAGGTAAAAATATATATATATGATGCTTTGATTTATTACTCATGATGCAGGATTAATGGCCTCTTTATATATTGGATCCTCGCTATAAAGAAATGGATTTTGTATCAGATGATGAAAAAGAAAGGATAATTCAAAAACTTTATGATAAATTCAACTAATAATTCAACATCACACTCACCCGCAGTAGAGCCATGCTTATTTCGGATGCAGAATCATCATTGCGCTCGCAAAAAGGATAGTCAACGCCATCAAACTAAAAGTAGAAAAGACAAATTACCCACAACCATTGATGAAATAAGTAATTATTTGGTAATGCCAGTCGCATTGGAAGCAGAAAATCCACTAGATTTGTGACGAATTCGTGCAAAATTTTTTTCAGAATTATCCCAAATTGCATGCAAATATCTTGAAATACCAGCGATGTCAGTATCAAGTAAAATGTTGTTTTCACATGCTAGTAGTAATTTCAGTGAAAAGAACATGTTTAGATACAAATTTGGCAGGTTAGATGTTATTTTTGAAAAGAAAAATTCGTTCATGAAAGTTTTTGCAAAAGAATTTGATAAAACAGAGGAAATTTTATTAGATTAATTTTTTCATTAAATTTCATTTATATTTTTCATTAAATCTAATAAAAATTTTCTTTAATTATATAAATATAATAATTTTGTTATTATTTTATTTGTTAAAACATAAATCAAATAGTTGGAAATTTATATTTATACGGATCAACCATCAAAATTCAGATTAGGATAAATCCGGATAAATCCGAATCCGTTGATCTAGATTATAATTCGGATGGGCTGTCAGGAACTGGATTGAATCCGGATGACTCTTTAAGAATAGGATCGGAACACTAGACTCTGTAAGTCACTCCAGATATTATCTATTGAAGCAGTATTTTGATGTTTGATATGAAAAGATTGAGTTTTACCAATGAAAAAAACTAATGTTAAGCTTGAAATTTTTCTTTATGATTTTTTACCTTTAAATAAAACAAATTTAAAGAATTAAGTTTATAATAATTACAAGTAAATTGATACTTGGTCGCTGATAAATTTAATGTGTTCAAGTAGTGAAATGGACAGGAGCTCATTAGCAACCATATGTAAAAAGTAGTAAACGTTTATTCTTACAATCCTTCCTGATCATAGATCACATGTGATATGTTTGCAATAAAGTGAAAGTGTATTAACTGCATATTAAAGAATTTTCAGAGAGTTTATTTATTTTTTTATATATGTGAAAAAAGTAATAATTCAACTCATAGTTGCTAACAATTTTAAGAAAATTGTACTGCTGATAATGTTTTATCAAATAACAAAGAAATAGTTCATACATAGTAAATACTAAATATAATATAATTATTAATTTACTTATCTAATTGACTTATAATATATGAATTTTTTTTCTTATTTTTTAGTCACTTGAAATACTTCATAACTCTCCACTGTAAAAGATCTTGGAATACTTATATCAGGATAGTAATTAGAATTAACATCATTATTTACCCATTTATTATTGCCATTACAGTAAAAAAACCCCATTTGCATAACTTGGTCTTCACCACAAAAAATAGCTTTACTTGGTTCTTTAACATAGCCAAATTTTGCACCAGATATATTTTTTCCATCTGTAAAATTAAAAAGAAAACTATCTCTAGTATTTTTCCAACCATAATTCCCATTCCAATCAAGTGGATTATATCCTCCAATTAATTGTGTTGAACCTTGAATTTTTGCTACCCAAATAGTCGCTCCTTTATTATCACAATTTCTATAAAATGATGCAGCATCAAATCTATCCCGACCTGAATGATACAATAATTTGAAATTATAGGGAATATTCTTGTTATTGTAATATGAAGAATCTTTCTTATCAATCCATGAAGCAAAAAGAGGAATGTGGTTTGATTGAATTATGGTTGAATCAAGCTTAGGTTTCAAATTTGATTTTCTTGGTAATGGCACATTAGTTTTAGGCTTTACATCAGGAACAATATGAAATTCTAAAAGATCATGAATCAAATCTTGTGGTAGAACATCCTTATAATTATAAACTTTATAAAAGAAATCTGTAGGTTCAATATCATAAAATCTAATAAGCGGAATAAATACATGTAATGATCTCTCAATTTTTGTAATGTCATCTTTGTCCCATTTTGTTGGATCATTATTTATATTCTGTTGAGCAAAACACCATTTCAATAAACTTTCCCAAATTTCAATTTCATCCAAATTTAAATCATCTCTTTTTAGCAATAATTCCAATAAAGGAGCTTTTAAGTTAACAAATTTATCAGAATTAAATAAAATTTTAGGATCTTCACAAATATTTTCAAGGCAAAAATCCCATAAATCCGTAAATGTTTCATGCTGGTAGACCATTTCAAGAATACCGGTTGGATTTTGATGTAAAAATTCAGTTTGATGTTCAATTAAATATTCTTGAATATGAGAAATTAATTGTTGAATATTAAGTTCGTCTACAACTATTAATAATTTCAATACGTCTGGTCCTTGTAAATTTTTCAATTCAATATTTCCACTGTAAATAAACCTAAACAATAGAATAATTAAAAAAAAATTTCTAGTAATTTTGAAAAAAAAAAAAAAAAAAAATTAATACTATGTAAATATTTAATACCTAAGAATGATGTCAAATAAATGAGGAGAAATATTTGGTTTTTTTAAAATAAATTTTCCATCTTGTTTTTCAGCCCATTCATTAGAAAATGCTGTACGAAAATATTTTGACCTAATACACAAAATATTTGAATGAGCATGGATTTCTTTAATATTCGGTTCTTCTCCTGCATAAATAATAACATCATATCCTATTTCTGTTTCAAAAAGTTTTTCATAATCATTAGATAACTCTTCCAAAAATTTTGATGGCATGTTAAGAATGTACTACGTTTATTTTAGGGAGAAAGGCTTGTCAAACATTGAGACCCAAAAATTAACCTTATTTATTAAATCTTATGGTGATCGAAGTGTTACTGCATGTGTAACAGCTCTTATTTCTTTATTAAAGAAAAAATCAACTATAATTTTAAGTTGATTAATTATTTTGATAGTTTTAAAAATAATTTATATTTACAAATGTTATAATTATTTTCTGCAATAAGTAATTATTTTCTATTTTAATAACAATTTTTAAAGCCCTAAAGTTAAATATTTCCTTTTAAGAATTCATAATAATTGAATGTTAATAAGAACAAATAATCAAAAATGTTTTTTTTTAATTTTTACTTCAAATCACCGTGGGTGATCATCACCGTTGGCCGGAATTATTAATTTTTACCGGCACTATATTTTTTAATGCTGGTCGATCATCATAATTTCAGTCACCACCCCGGTGATAGAAAAATTCTATTTTATATAAAAAACATATAATTATTAAATTGCAAATATTCGGTTTTCTTAAATGAATTTGCGAAGATTCCAATAAAATTTATATTAAAAAAAAGCATAGTAAAGTATACATTTATATTTTTTCCTACAGTAATCACTCAAAATACATTGTAGTCCTTCAAAACTAAACATTTAAAATACCTTAAGATTTACCATAAGTATCATTGTAAGGACTATATAGTCTATATAGATTATATAGATATTCAGTACCGTACTGGTTTTCAAAATCGTACCGTGCGTACGTTAATATCGTACACATGGGCCATATGTCCCGTCCAATGAAATCGCAAATTTTAATTTTATCTTTTTCGCACCAGATCTACAATGGTTTCCATTTCCTAGTTATAATCAACATAATTATCATTGCTACGATGCCTGTGCAACCTTTGCTATTAGAACAATAAATGGCTAAGTACATTAACAATTCTTGTTTTCTTTCTTTATCATTATTATCTTTTAATTCTGTTAAACATTCTGTAACTATCAAGCTTCAGTTATAGCAAATAAAGAGAGTAAGGATGCTAGGAGCTTGCGCAATGTCTCACATTCTTTTTACCTAATTGAAACTCATCCATTTCTAAGTCAACTTTACGTGTGTGTATACATCAATGATAAAATCAGGATGCTTTTTTGAACACACTCCATCTCGTATAGAATAATGTTTTCATCTAAAATATTTTTAACTCAAAGTTGTTTTGCTAAACACACTTTTGCTTTCGCTCATCATAGAGTGTTTTTCACAGCAGGATTTTTACAATCTGGGATCATGTATAAACGTGAATATTGTGCCATCATACCTTTGCCCTACGAAAAAAGAATGTCCGGAATTTGTCACCAAAACTGTTCGGAAATTGTCCAGTATACCTATAAAATGTCTGGAAAATGTCCGAAATTATGAAAAAATATGGTGTCCGGAATTTTTTGAAGTCCGGAATTTGTCCAGACATGAAAAATTCAGGACAAATTTCGGATAGACAAAACTGGACAAATTCTGGACACAAAAAATCCTGGACACATTTTGGACAATCTCTGGACAAAAAAACCTGGACAAATTCTGGTAGTTAGACGAGAAAAAATTCCAGACAAATTCTGAACAATAAAAAATCAAAAAATGTAAAAAGCAAAAAACTGGTATTTAAAACCTTTGTGTGTATACTATGTAAACTTAAAGAGCAAGCAAAATACTATCTATGATGTTAATTTAAACTGCTATAAACAGTTATCAGTTAAGTATTTGTATAAAAGAATATCACTGATATACTACTGATATGACTTGCCGATCATTTCAGAGAAAATTTTTTTCCGGACAAATTCCAAATCCGGACAAATTTCGGACAAAAATCAATGTCCGGAAAATGTTCCAAATCTTGCGCGTTTTCGTATGTTTTCAGGACACTTATTTTGTAAAATTATATTCCGGACAATTTCAGAATATTTTCCGGACGCATTTTTTTCGTAGTTATGCGTGAAGCGTCGCGATATTTTATATCCGGGTATTCCATATAGTACTCTTTTTGGTAATTAAAATTATTACACTTTGGGCCAACAACATTACCAGGATTTCAGTGGGCTTGACAAAAACGGTCACTTTTTTCTCCTAAATGATTAAAAGTTGGTATATTATACAACAAGCTTTCTCACACCACTAATTTACTATGTTAACTATACTATCTGTTTTGAATCTAGTGTAGCATTGGCCTTGTGTTTTTCCTGAGACATTAAAATTAGGATGAGTATAACAATCTGAGTGTATGCACTTTCTGCTTGCAACATTAATCATACCATCCTGCTTATATTGATTACAGGAAGTTCGTGATGATTACTCTACAGTAAAGAGCACTTGACAATTCAGAGTTTAATTTGGATATCAATCATTACTGGTTTTTTGCATTTAGCGCAGAATTTATCTTATCTGAGCCAATAACATCAAAAACTGCACGTGTAGTTCTAAGTATTTTCTGACCTTTAAGTGAATAATCCCTTCTTTCATATTAGTGACGCATGAAGTTGCTTTAGAGCTGGGGAAACCAAAATGAGGAAACTTGTAACAGCCATCTTTTTGAAACTACTATGTCTTTACGTGAACATAACCAACTGGCTTATGCATAGCACAATAGCGTGAAGTTTTTGAATCTTTTGGGCCAAATGATGCTCCTTTTTGACAACAAAGTTATTATCAGCGTTATCCTTGTTATTACAATAAAATAGGTAGTAATTTATTGAATATTAAATAATTTAATCTTGTAATCTCGATCATTTCCTTTTTTTATTAAGACCGATAGTTATGTGAAGGATTGTTGAAATATATTCACGACACATAGTTTTGTTTTTATCAGAACTCGACTCATATTTTTTATCCTGTGAATAATGTTGTCAATGCAGAGCTTAAATTCCAGATTATTTTCCTCAATTAGGAGGATTTCTATAATGAAAATTAATAGAGATGGATTAGTCTGGTATTCTATAGCAATGAAACTAATTATCCAAAATTTTACACAAAAACTTCGCTTATCTGGCTTGAATTGTGGAATATTTTTTATACTATCACTATTTATGTCGTATTTCTTAATACCTCAACTCAAACTGTGGCACAATGAAAACGCTTTTAAATTTTTTCTCCTTGCACACCTTAGTGAAGCCCGCAAGCCTTGAAGTAAGTCCATTTTCATTCTATGAACTCAAATTTTTCTTCGGCGGTTAGCTTGAGAAAGTCACGGCCATTTATTCTCTCCTTCTTAGTTATATCGTAATCTTCCGGTTCAAGCCCTAAGTTCTCCTCCTTACGCAAGAAATCAATAAGCTCTTTTGTTTCATAATTTTAATATTGTCCACCAGTATGACCATCTCATTTCCAGTAATAGAGATAGAGGTGGAACATAGTGTTTTTATTAGGGGTATTTGGCTCAAATAAAAATATTGTTACATTTCGGAGTGAAATATAAATTTATTTCTGGGAAAGTACTGAGCATAAATATTTGCTTTTATATCAACAGAGCCACAGACATTGCGTGACTTTTAACGAAAGTGCAATATTGGTGCTTTATTATTTATGAAATAAACTTCGCCAGTAGCGGACAACAATACATAAAAAATTGTGAATATATCGCTATTACATGATACAAATATAGATAAAAATCCTATCATCGTGTCGCATAGGCTTCTCAGGATAAATTTGGTGAGGAAGTCATCACGATTGATTGGCCAAACTTCTTGAAACTTTCACTCCCATGTAGGCATAGAATAGTTGAATTTAAAAATCATCTAATCAATTCATCAATACTTTAAATTTTGACAGTTTATATTTTAAGAATAAATTGCTGTTAATTAATTGTTTATTGTTATCAATTATAAATTCAAAAATTCAATTATTTATAATTCGTATGCATCAATTTTAAGTGTATTAAGTGACTAAAGTTTCTAAACATAATTATCACGAGATTATTTCGTAAACAAAGGAAATTAGGAAATTTGCAATTTTAAATTTATTATATAACTAAAAAAATTTGTCTGACGTTTAGAATAGTCTCCATATAAATAATTTGAATTGTGTAATATATGAAAATCCCTGCGCCTGATCTATTCCTTATTTATCTGTTATTATTACACTAAATTGCTAAGTACCACACATAATGTAATTTATGATGTAATAATTTCTTTCATTTATTTTTTTTTTATTAACCATTACCCATATATTTTGTTCAAACTTATATTACTTATATTTGCGATAATTATTATAATTCTACAGAAATTCTTCTCTTAGATATGACTTTTTTTGTAGAAATAATAAGTTGAATGATTTCTTAATCTTTCACGCTCGTTACTCACCAATTATTTAAAATAAATTCAAATTAAAAAAATTGACCTTTCATCAATCATGTTCATATTAATTTTTAAGTAAGATTTAAAAATAACAATAAATTAATAGTCTATTAAATAACAACCATTGATTTTGTTTTTCAAATTATTTGAATATTAATCAATAACAAGGATACTATCAATTCATTAAGTATGACAATCAAATTTGTTAAACATAAATTGTATTCGCTGAAAAAAAAAATAAAAAAAGTAAATTTTTAATTTTAAATTATGCTAAATATAGAAAGTACAATAATAAATCGTAGTAATATTTTTCTTTTTTTGGCTATGAGGCGTAAATACTCCTCAAGGTCACAAGGGCACAACATGAAGTTTGATCAACAATTTGCATTTTACTAATCTATCGAGTAACGAACTTAAAATAATTATTTATTTCTTTCTTATTGATTACATTATGTCCACTCTTCGATATGGGTTAATTAATGCAACAAATAATAGAGCAACAACATTAACAGATACTAATATTTACGATGATATACACAAACGATTTGAATTTCAAAAACAAACAGTCCTTGCTGATAAAATTCTTACAAATGATGAAAAAACTTATGCAATAAGATTATTATTTTTAAATTATGATCGATATATAGTTATTTTTAATTTTGGTACAATAAGAATTTGTGAAAATTGTAACCAAGAATGTTTAGCCACATTATATTGTGAATATTGTGTTCGAAATTATTTAAAAGAAGATTTTTCAAATTGGACATCTGGAAATGATGATATTGATAATTTAATACAGAAATGTCAAATGGAATCACTTAATCCATTCATGATTGTTGAATGGATCCCATATAGTAATTTAGAAAATATTAAATATTTAACAAAAGGTGGATTCTCAGAAATTTATACAGCAGATTGGATTAATGGAAAGTATAAAGAATGGGATTTTGAAAAAAAACAATTAAAAAGATTTGGAAATTTCAAAGTAATATTAAAAAAATTAGAAAATGTTGAAAGTGCAAATCAAAGATGGTTTGAAGAGGTTTGTATAATTATATTCTAAATTTATTGCATGAAATTATGCACACTTTGTATTAATATAAGCATTTTTACAAATTATTGTCTTTTAGGCTAAATCACATTTAACTATAAGTAATAAATGGGCAGATGTTGTTCGATGTTTTGGTTTAACGCAAAATCCATCAAATGGAAATTACATGCTTGTAATAGAGAAAATGGATATAGATTTAAGAAAATATTTACAACAAAATCATAATCAACTTACATGGAAAAAGAGAATTAATATTGCTTATGAAATAATTCTTGCACTTAGTTATATTCATGATGAGGAAGCAATTCATAGAGATTTACATTCTGGAAATATATTACATTCTCAACTTAATAATTCTTGGCATGTTAGTGATCTTGGATTTTGTGGACCTGCTGATAAATCTTCAACAAGTATATATGGAAATCTTCCTTACATAGCACCCGAAGTTATTGTTGGAAGAGAATATACTTTTGCATCTGATATTTATAGTATTGCAATTCTTATGTGGGAAATTTCATCTGGACAACCACCATTTATAAATTATGAACATGAAAATGATATTGTAATGAATATTATTAACGGTATAAGACCAAAAATTGTGCCAGGAACTCCATTTGAATATAAAAATTTAATGAAAGAATGTTGGGATGTTGATCCATTAAAAAGACCTGACGTTTATGCACTTGAGAGAAAAATGAGAAGAATTAATTTAGATTATCAAAATATGTCAGATGAATTATTCAAATCAGAAATAGTGGATAATTTAGAAATGAATAAAGCAGAAGAAAATTATACGAGTAGCAGATTATTTACAAGTAAAATCCACAACTTTGGAAATCTACCTGAACCAAGAAATGCAACAGAAGGTATAAGTGTATAATATTTATTAATGAATGTATTTATTTTAAAATATATTATTAATATTATCTATTTTTGAATTTATATTATAATAGAAGAACAAGAAGGTATAACCGTATAAATAATAATTTCTACAATTTTTTATAATAATTCAGTTTTTAAAATATTTAATACTTTAATTTACTACTAATAGTGTTTCATAGTAAATTGTATGATTTTAACATTCCTAAAAATAGTAAGTACTGTATTTAATGTTATAGCGTTGAAGTATTATATAATAATGTTTAACAATTAATATTTGTTTAGTTAACGATTTTGGATCAAATAAGCAGTATAGTAAGAAATTATTAATAAATATTTTAAAGATGATTTGTTTGAAATAATAGATTTTAAAAATATTAAAATCTATTTCTATGTTTTTAATTTTAGGTGATAGTGAAAAATTACCCAAAGAATTTATAAATTTGCAGATAAATTCAAATAGTAAGTAAATAAGCGAAATAATAATATTCATTGTATCAGTTTCATTTATTAAATAACGTGACTTTTATTTTAAAAAATAATATGACGAAAAAGAAATAATTCAACAACAAATGAAAAGGAAAGATATTGATATTGATGGTAAGCAAAAAAAAAAATAAAAATTATTTTGTCAATATATTTTATTTAATGTAGCTTTAATTTAAAAATTTAGATGATGAAAAAGAAATAATTCAACAAAGAACGAAAAGACAAAATATTGGTGATATTGATGGTATGCTAATTTTTAATTTAATTTTTATATTATTTTTTAATTTAATTATTTATTTCTTATAGATGAAGACGAAGTATATAATAATCCAAATCTTCATTCAGAAGAACAAGATGAACTGGAAATTCCTGATGGTAAGTTCTTAAATAAATTAAATTTCTTTTTAAAGCAAATAATTAATTTATAATTTATTTTTTATCTTTAGATGGATTTTAAATCATTTAACAATTTTTTGTTATATTTTAAATTATTATCAATTATTTATTTATCTATTCTATTTATTTATTTTGGGTTATTTAAACACTAAGACTAGAGTAGTAATTGTTTTACAAAATTCTTAGTTTGTAATTTAAATAATTTTAATAAATTTATTCAAATTTGTAAATCGTATATTGATTTAAAATTAATTATCTTAACGTAAATTTATGTCATAAACATTGTAAAATCACGATAGATTATTCCATTCGTTATACATGAATTTATTAAACAAGTTGAAAGAATATCTTTAAACTCATGAAAGTATGGCAAGAAGCGACGTAAATATTGTGCACACGTTCTTTATTTATAATAAATAATTTAGATTGTACAATAACATCTTGTTTAAATTTATAAGTTTCTTAATAATTTAACGTATAATCAATATTTATAGTTAACATCAAATAAAATAAAATTATGATCCTTAGTTATTGATAATATGCAAAACAATTCATATAACAAGTAACAAACATTTTTCTATGAAAATCACAATAATCCTAATATGGAATTACTGATGCAAAATGATAAAGAATTTTTTCAAAAACATTTAGATACCGAAAAAATTATCTTCAACACTAAGATTAGAATAGTAAGATTTCATATATAAAATTTCTTATCCTGTAATTTGTTATCTGATAAATTTTAAGTTATTAGTAAATATACAGTAATTGTAATAAACTATATATAATATATATATACAGTGTGTTGCAAAAAAAACCGGAATTAAAAAATCAGTCATAACACCATGATGATCTCACCAAATTGTACGTAAAATAGCTTATTTGAAAGATGGAAACCCATAGATTTTATCAATAATAAATTAATATGGAATTTATTTTAGTAATTTTTCTATAATTAAGCTTATAATTATATTTTTCTTATTTAAAAATTTTTTATAACTATTTTAGAGCAAATTTATATTTTTTTTGCATAATACTAAATAATATTAAAAAAATTTTTTTTTATTCGCAATTTTCCCATTTATCTTGATAAAATTTGAGAAATTTCTAGTGAATTTGCATCCATTTTTTAATTTAAGAATTTCATGTCAAATTTTTCTTTAAAATCAACATTTGTAGTTAATTTTCTCAAAAAGTAAAAATGTACTAGAGCCCTAAATAATGTCAAAACGTAGCCCCAATATTCAAGTTTATTTTGCATTTTAAATGATAAAAATTGGTTTTGTTTTAAGTAAACTACACGCATTTTTGTAATTTGAACCATTTATTAGCATTTTTTACTATATACCGAAATTGTGATAACTTAATGAATAAAACTCTCATCATTTTATCATAAAGGTTTATTTACTGCAAATTTTTTGATATTTATTTTTTGGCATTATTCTTAATAATATTTGAGTATTTTAAATTAAATCTAATCCACCAATGTTTTATAAATGTAATTTAATTTTCTGTTATATTTTTTAATTTGAAATAAATAATTATTGCTGATTTTTTCAAAAGATAATGAAGTGTTTATAACTTCAAAAGATATCAAAATGTAGCCTTGGGTCTCAGATTTATTATATAATTTACATAATGTAAATTGAATTTATTTTGGGCGTATAACATGCATTTTTATCACGTGAACAGTTTTCTGGTTTTTTTTGCAACACACTGTATATATTTATTTATTTAAATTATTCAAATTTTTTAATGTTGATTTTGATTCTTCTATTATATTAAGAAAAAAAAGATTAATATTTCGATGATAGTACAAATTAAAGTCACTTTATTAGCTAAAATTTAGATTCGAACTATTATATTAAAAATATAATATTAAAAAAAAAAAAAAAATCAACGTTAATAAACAATACTTTTAAATTATCGAACGTTATCCAATCTTATTGCAAATTATAAAAATTTATTCGCGACATTAGACTTTAATAAAGTTAATTTTAAAAATTTGTAATTAAAATTGTTAATAATAATAATCTTACACATGGTAATAAAATTTACTAGTGCAAAATACTAATATTTATTATTTTATATGAAGATTATTGGTTATTTAAAATTAGAGCGTATTAGTTTGGGTTGAAACCAACTAACAGCGCATTTTGGAACTGTGTAATTTCACTTTAATTAAACTGATTCAAACCAAAGGTTTAACCCAGTAGTTTATTACTGTATTATACATGGAATGTTAATTTAAAAATAGTAATAATTTAAGTATTATAGTAATCAGTAAGTTAATTTCTATATTTTTTTTCTAAACATAAAAAAAGAAACAAATTAATTTTGATGAAATTAAGTAAAGAAGAAACATTAATATCCAGTTCTGCACATAAGTAGGAATTCTCATTTATGGTTCTCAATAAATTGGGTCACTCCTTGACTAGGGATGGTAAGCTTTTAAACTACTTTTTGACGAAAAACTAAAATTATTTTTTTTAAAAATAGTATTACTTTTTTTTTCTTTGCTCAGCTTTTAATTAAACTTAGATATGTTTCAAAATCAGAATTTTTTAAGAATTTTAACATTTTATTTATTGATTTTTTTCATTCAGAATAATTTTATTTGTATGTTTATATATTGTTTAAATTACCCTAAAACCGAAGATCCTACATTTACCATATATATTCATTATCGATCAGCATTATGGTCATACAGGTCGTACACCGGAGTTTCATATAAATACGGTATATTTCATTGTTTATTTATTAATCATTTATTTTTTTTTCTCTCCCCTATTTTTTTCGAAGAAAAAATGTCCAAACTTAATAAAGATATTCTTTTCTTGATATTTGAGGAATTACAAGATAATTCAATATTCCTCTTTTCATGCATAATGGTTAATAGAATTTGGTGTGAAATCATGATTCCAATTTTATGGAAAAATCCTTGGTGCTATAATATTAATTATCATAAAAAAAATTCTTTATATTCTATTCTTACTTCTTATTTATTAAATGATATTAAAGAATTCTTAACAAAAAAAGAAATTCTAATTTCAAGCCAATCACTTACATTTGATTATTTGTCATTCTGTAAGAGTATTGATACAAAAATTATAGATAACATAATTTCCATTGGAACATCATCAGAATATAATCAATTCCTTTTACAAGAAGAAATTTATAGTTTATTAATAAAGAAATGTCCAGAAATAAAGTATTTGAGTATATGTGGTACCCGTGAGATATTATATCTTCCAGAAACAAAGAACCGTCTCGAATCACTTTGTGAATTAACAATTAACACATTGATCGATCCTAGGTACTTTTACAAATTAGCAAATATTTGTCAACAAATACAAAGAATAATCATTATTAACAAAAACATAAGAGCTAATCCTGGAACTACTAAATTAATTGAATTACAAAAAAATTTAAAATATTTTAAATGGATAGATGATTTTAAAGAAGAAGATGGCTTTTATTATTGGGAATTATTGGAAGATCCTTATACAAAAATTTTTAACATGTTAGAAAAACATGCAAATACTATTAATCATTTTGAAATAACCCTTCTATTTGATTATGACAATAATTGCAATTACAGTAATTATGATTATTCATTTCTACAATATACACTCTTAAGACTTCATAATTTAAAAATAATAGATATTGATTCACCTTTATTTTTAAGTAATGATGATTTTAATGAAAAATTGGAAATGGTAACTTATCGTGACCTTGAGATTTTAAAGATAGATTATATGGATATTTATCAAGTTACTTATATAATAAAAAATTGCTTAAATCTTAAAGAATTAAGGATCAATGATTTTCACTGGAATGATAATATTATTGATGGCTCTCTTAATTTTATACATACAATTAATGAAAATTGTTTTTTAATTGAATATTTAACAATTCCTGTTTTTCCATTATTTGAGAATCATTTAACTGAATTTGAAAAATTACTTAAAAAATGTCAAAATTTGCGATCATTATATTTTCAAGAAGCATATTATGAAGAACAGAGAGAATTAGAATTTGGAGATTATTTGTTAAATATATTAGTTAAAGAAGCATCAAAAAATCTAAGAGAAATTGGAATTCCTAATGATATTAGATTTTCTTTAAAAGATTTAGAGGTATTTTTTGAAAAATGGAAAGGACGACCTGCAGTTTCTATATATGTCGATGAGTATTATTTTTATCAAAAAAATGATTCATATATGAAATTGATCGATAAATATAAAATTGAAGGAGTAATTAAAGAAATGAATGTGTAAGGATAATTCCAATTACTATACTGAATTATTCGTTTTAATTAAAAAGACCACAAATTTTCATTCGTGGTATAAATTTAAAATATATCTATGTATTATGATTTTATGAGGGCAATTCAATAAAAAATTTTTTATCTATAACCGAATATACAGTATTTCAGTTTCTGATTTTTTTTTTATCTAATATGGATAATATATTATTAATAAATTATAAACAATATATTATTTAAAAAAAACTAGTAATAAATTCACGTTTTTTGGTTATTTTCCAAAGCATAACATCGGCTGTTTAACTCGGAAGCATTACATACTGTATAATAATATTTCCATGATTATTTGCGCCACATCTAAAAAAATTCATACTATACCGACCATGTCAATTTAAAATCGGAAAATATGTTAATATTACGGTCGTATTTGTTGATCAGATTCCAAGTCGTATTTTTATTCTTAAATATTTTATTTCTATGAATTTGAGATATAATACATTTCCGTATTGTTTACCTACAGTTACAGCATGTATTCTGTATTATACGATAATTTGAATTTTATTATTAGTTTAATCATTAAAAATGTAAGTATTGAATAAATAAACGTATCATTAACATAATAGTATCGAAAATCCATAATTGAAAAAAAATTAATTACAAGGTCAGAAAGTAAAAGGAAGATAATGTCCTATCAAAGATTTTACGTCCAAAAAAATTTAACGAATATTCTGATGACAGATTATCAACATTCTAATTTTCTATATTGTATACTGTATAATTGGCTATTGTATGTGTAATTATCAAATCAGTTATTCAGTAATTTTTACCAATGCGGCGAGTATTATCCAAGTT